ACAGGGATCTTGGGGACATAGGGACCCCAGAAACATGGGGATCCGAGGGACACAGGGACCTCGGGGACACAGGGATCTTGGGGACATAGGGACCCTGGAGACATGGGGATCCGAGGGACATAGGGACTCGGGGACACAGGGACCCTGGGGACACAGAGACCCTGAGGACACAGGGACCCCAGAGACACAGAGACCCTGGGGACACAGGGACCTCAGGGACATGGGGACCCCAGGGAACCTGGAGATACGGGGATCCCAGAGACACTGGGACCCTGGGAACACAGGGACCCCAGGGACACAGGGACCTCGGAGCAGGGAAGGTGACAACACACATGGAGCAGCCTCAACACCCCAGCGAGGAGGCAGCGCCACGGGGTGACATCACAGAATCCCAGCTTGGAAGGGATCCCTAGGGATCGGAAAACCAGCAAATCACTAAATCATCAGTAAATGGAAACCCAAAGCAGTTCTAAAACTATATAAAAGGGGTCAAATCTCCACTTTAAAGGCAGAAAGGGGATTCTGGGGCCCCTGGGCGTGCGCACGCGTTACCTTCCAAGGAATGCAGGCCTTTCTCCTTGGCAGTCTCATAGACGCTGCTGAACTCGTCGCCGAGGTTGGGGTCAGCTCCAGCCTCCAGCAGGATCTTCACCACGCTGCTCAGGAGACAACGGGGAGGCACAAGGTGAGTGAGGGAGCCCCTCGGAGCCCAGGAGGAGCCGCGAGGTCTCAAGCGCTCGCAGCTCACAAYGATAAAACAATGTGCTTGATTAGATGTCTTAATAATTAAAAAATGGCACGTTCTGCAAGCACTCTCGGCTCAAGGAAGCAAAATCATGGAATTACACAATGCTTAAGGCTGGAAGGGACCTTTGGAGAGCACCCAGGGCAACCCCCTGCACACGCAGGGACACCCGGAGCAGGTGGCACCAGATGCGTCCCGGATGGTTGAGGTTGGAAGGGACCTCTAGGGATTGTCCTCGACTTTGGAGGACTTTGGAGCCCCTTTGGATGGTCTCTCWTTGGAGACCATCCCGTCCAACCCCCTGCACACACAGAGACACCCGGAGCAGGWGGCRCCAGCTCCATCCAAGCGGGTTTTAAGGATCTCCRGAGCAGGAGCCTCCGCAGCCTCCCTGGGCAGGTTGTTCCAGGGCTCGGCCACCGTCACCACCAGGGATTTCTCCTGAAGTTCCYGGGGAACTTTTGGKGCTCCCGTTTGTGGCCGGTTCCTCCAGTTCCATCAGTGGCCACCAGTGCAAAGAGGCYGCCCCGTCCTCCTCGCTCCTCCCTTGAGGTGTCTATGGACACTGCCCAGGTGCCCCCTCAGCCTCCTCTTCCTCAGGCSGARCAGCCCCAGCTCTCGCAGCCTTCGCTCCCAGGGCAGATGCTCCCGGCCCTTCATCATCCTCATTCCCTGCGCTGGCCTCTCCCCAGCAGCTCCACATCCCTGCTGTGCTGGGAGCCCCGAGCTGGACACGGGCTCCGGACGTGGCCTCCCTAGGACCAAGCAGAGGGGCACGRTCCCCTCCATGGACCTTCTGGAGATGCTCTTCTTGATGCACCCASGACCCATTGGCCTCCTTGGCCACGGGGGMCCTGCTGCCTCAYGGTCACTTGTCACCTCATGGTCACCTACCATGACACTAGGTCCCTCTCTGCAGAKCTGCCCTCCAGAAGGTTGTTCCCAGCCTGTACTGGTGTCTAAAGGGTGTCTAAAGGGTGTCTTGGTGTCTAAAACCACATCGTGCTACTGCTTGTGCTTTTGGGATGCGCCCGGCATTTCGGCACGTGGCAAAGGGCAGGGAGCCAGGAAGGGAGCCAGGAAGGGAGCTGGGAAGGGAGCAGGGAAGAGGTCTCTTCCCCACCGGTCCTTCCTGCAACCTGCAGCATCACGGAGCRGTGCCCTCTGCATCAGGATACGGAGAGGCCGTGGGCAGGCGGACTGGAAAAGGCTTTGGATCCTGGCRAGATGCAAGAATCAGCTCATCCTTCCAGCCTCTTCTTGCCCTCACACGAGGAGCAACCCAAATCAGCCTTCCAAAACTAGATTTCYATCACATGAATTATAGGGAATCCTGGAATAAAAGCCTCCGACTATTGCGTGCTGTTCCATCAAACCAGCCTGAGAAGCAGCCGCTTCACACAAGATCAAGGGAGACACGTTGACCAACTYGGCCCCTTGCAGAGCTCCTACCACACACCTCACCCCCCGTTCCTGAAGAACCTCCAGGTATTYTTCTCAAGTGAATATCAGATTTCTCGTCACCCTTGCAAGCAGCTGGAGGCCGGTTCCTTTTCCTCTGCCCCCCAAGGCTGAAGCTCTTGGTGACACCAAGAGGGTCCCACGTTGCTCTGTGTTCAYCAGCGGCTCTGCCTCTTGTCGGGGCACATTCAGCTTAAGTTCCTCTCCTATTTCCCCCATAAATGCACTGGCAGAATTAAAAGGTTTTTGTTTTCCTCCTGGAATGAGGTGCAATAGAGAGATGCTCCTGGCTGGCCCGCGTGGCTCTTCCCTGKGCAAAGCAGTGGAAATCTGCTGGAAAAAGTACAAGCTTGGGAGCTGGGACATCTTCCCASCCACGCTCCCGCGGGATCACACACAGCTCATCCATACCCACTTCTCAAATGCTCCTCATTCCAAAATATTAGGCTTGAGGTGCACTGGAGCTAGTCTTAGAACAGGCAGGATCAACTGCAGCCGTCACCGTCTGAGTGCAGCTGCATGTGGAGGTTACTCCCACAGGATCCCAGGATGGCTGAGGGTGGATCCCTAGGGATCATCCAGTGCAGCCCCCTTCTCCAGCAGGGACACCCGGAGCCCGGGACGCAGCCGGTGCCACCTGCTCTGGGTGTCCCTGTGTGTTGGGTGGTCCCCAAAGGTCCCTTCCAGCCTTAAGGACTCCGTGATTCCATGATCTACAAGCAGCCCTATAATCTTCCACCCCAAGAGCCCATCCCGATGCCAGCTCTTGTATCAGCGCCTCTCATCCACTTTTGCAAATAGGGAGTGAAAGGACTCGCTGGTTTAATACTGGTCTTGGACAYCGAGCCCCTCTGGGCAACCACCCTGCAGTGCACGCTGCTGCTTTGGGGCCAGGCTGTCCCCTCCGGCACCCGCGTCCGTCCCTGCAATGACAGCTATTGATTGCACTTAGCCAATTAGCAGGTAATGGGACCCTCAAACAAATGAGCCTTTTGGAGAGAAAGAGAGCTGGGCACTGAGGAACCTCCTGAGGTTCCACAAGACGCCTCAAGGGGTGGAAAATAAACTATATGGCCCAAATCTATGCACATAATAAAGGTAAAGGGAGTTATAAAGCTAAATAGACGGCGCCGGTTCATTGTGTCGGTGCCTACAGATTGGTTGCTCCTCGCTATACGTCTTGGAACAGCCCCACTAAAATATCCCCCTTTCCCACGTGTTTATTGGCAGGATAAAATATCCGTGTGGCACCCGCGGCTGCTCCYGATGAAGGGACCACGTCCCGGCCAGCAGGATGTGGGAAAAGGAGGGATGGGATCACGCTGGGATCAGCTCTGGTCGTCCTGAGCGTGGCCAGAAGCCTCTGGAGCTTGGATGGGCGTAGGGAGATGGGGAAGGGAAAGGGGAGCTGAGGTGGGAATTGCTACTGGGCATTCCCCGGGAGAATGGGAATTCCCATGGAGAATGGGAATTTCCATGGTGTTGAGAAGGGATCCAGCGCCGGGGATGACGGGAGAAGGGATGGGCAGGAAATCAAAGTTGAGAAAAGCAAAGGGAAGAGAGGAGGCAGGTGGAGGTGTCAGCAGCCAAGGGGGGAATCAGGGAGCAAATTCCCTGAGGAAGGAGGATTGTTTGGAGTGACACTCCGGAGCGACTGACCACGCGGGACTCGTCCAAAAGGAGCCGAGTGGGACGTGCGGGATGGAACGGGACTGCTCTAGGGATGGCCCCGTGGGAGAATACAGAGGAATTCCCGCGGGAACGCAGCTTGGGAAAAGGGGGAGGCTTCCAGGAGGGAGCAGCCGTGAGGAACACGGCCCCGCTTGGCAAGCAGAGCTGAGTCCCTTCCTCTAAACCGTTGTKGCCTCTTGATTTAAGAGCTTTGCTAATTCTTTTAACAAAGGCCCGAACCCCAGCGAGCTCCYGGCGCGCATTTAATTAAAGCTTAATTTCTACGAAACACGTTCAACGTGCAAACCTGGTCCCGGCAGGGCAGAGCAGCCCCTCGCCGTGTTCTTCACACGGGCGATAAACCCTGCCGGAAAAGRCAGGAGAATTCCAGGAGAATTAAGGAAAACGCTTTAAAGCAGCTCCTGAAATTCAGGAGCCTTTCATAAGGAAGGGATAAAGGAGCAAGGAGCTGTGAGAACCTTTGATTTAAACGGGAGAGGCTGCGGAAAAGTGTTCCGGGTGGGATGAGGAAGGATCCCGGCCGAGCACCGGGAATCCTGCGGTGTTTTGGATATAATTGGTCCGTAAGAGGAAGAAAACGGTGTGGGAAGTGTTAAAGAAATGAAGGGGGACACAAACTTGCCCGTGGACACCCTGGATTTAAGCCGGTAGCTGGTGGCGACTGCCAGGGGTCATCAAGGCAACRTCTCCGAAAGCGAGTTAAACATCTGGGCTGCAGCTGGCTGCAAGAGGGAGAATCGGGAAGCTCTGCAGAAGGAACGACAGGTCACAGAGCCGCCCAGCAGCACAGGCTGCAAAATGTGGGGAGAAACAGCTCTGCAAAGGCAGGAATTTGGGGCTGCGGGTTTAATTTCTTTCTTAATTCGAAAGTCTCGATTCTCGTCRTCAATGTTTGGCCTCCTTGCATCCCCAAGCTGCACCGGGCTGCTTGATAAGGCACTAACAGCATGAAAAAAAAGTAAGAAAAATGAAATTACTGCGCGTGTGTCACAAGCTGGAGAAAGCCCCAGCTCACCTAATTCCCACCGGAATTATTATGAGGAATCAGGGCAACGTTGAGGCTAATTCCCAGCCTAATGCATGGAAAAGGACAGCGGCAGATCCCCAAAAACAGCAGATGCCATGGGGGATCCTGGGGCTAGGAGCGGAGCTGCAGCCCCGGGATACACCAGGCTCCCTTTTGCATTCACCTCCTTTACATGTGTATTTGTGCTGGCAGAGACAAGCCCCGCTAAGCTCTAGGCATTCAAGGGCTCCCTAATTTTGAATTTAAGTCAATATTCCCCCAAAATGTGGGAAAAGCAAACAGTGTTGGCCCAAAAGCCTTCCGGGCTTTTCTTGCTGGACAGGCCAGCAGGACACACACCAGCTTGGGGACAAGGGAGCAGCCCGGTCGCCTTTAACCACCTGGGTGTTTCGCGCTGCATTTCCACCCGATTTGAGGGCCGATTTGGGGTAATTCTTGCGCTCCAAGCAGCCTTTCCGCTCGCGTCCTGGGCGCTTTTGCGGCTCGGCTCGGCCCGTTCTGCTCCGCCGCTCGCTCGGAATGGTCCCCGGGCGTCACACTCCAGCGCTGCCCATTGTCCCCAGGGAAAAGGTGGGAGGCTCCTCGTCCCGGCCCATGGGGACCGGGCAAACAGCGGGGCCCGCCGCTGCCCGCACATCAAAGTGGAGCGAGCAGCGCCGGGGCGGCCGGCCCGAAGAGGAGGTCACGACTCGCGGCTTGTCGTGGCAGCACATCAAAGTTGGCACCACACACGAACTGGGCGCGCGGAGGCGGCGCGCGGCGCCCGAGAGCGGATACGCCGCCTTTGTGCCTCCCCTTTAATCCCGTGTTTTCCCAAGTCATTAGGGCTTTCGGGGGGCTTATGAACTTGTGACTGAGTAAAGCGGCCCCGAGAGGGCGTGACATCAAAGCTCATTCTCCCGCCTGCGCCGCGTTT